TGGCCAAGAGCTGTGATGTGATGAATTCAACGTCAGTCTTACATAAACTAAAATAACAACGAATAGATCGCAAAGAGACAGTTGACAATAGAACAACAGCAACGGCTCTGACATGATTTGCTGGAAGATCACAACCTTTAGGGACGAGCATCTATTTGTATTGCATTATGCCAAGACAATATTGAAGTAGGGCTGGGCGTCACAATCTTCTATCCCAATATAGGTCATTTGATATTTCGGTTACAATATATATCATGATGTAGCGTGTTGTTTGGTAATACAAATAATTTGTATTTTCTAATTTAATCAAAAACTTAAGTATAACATGAACATAATAGTTTGAAGAGAAATCATAAAGAAAATAAATACTACATGCAAGGACACAAAGAAAGGGATGAGACAAATGAAGACAATAGTTAGATTTTCCCTACACTAGGGTTCCTATGAATGAAATATGTTTGTGAAAGAAAGCAGGAACCACTACTCACAATTGATTTGAACCAACATTTGGGTTTCTAGGGGACCTTCACTTGTATTTTTCATCATTATTATATAACTGGAGCAATATTGCATTCTGGAGTAAAGGAGCTTAACGTTTGGACAAGTGTTGGAGCCCAATTTGTTAATAGCAATGAACTGAGTGGTAATGTAAAGTGTGATGTAAAAAATAAAACTTAAAATAAGATTCCCTAAATCCCATCGGTCCTTCTGGGAAACTAAGTAAGTTATCGCTGCTTATTTTCCACTTGGAAGATGTCACAGTGTACCGTAGTATCTACATACTGTATATGATTTTATTTGGATATAGGCTTATTTGACTTAAAGACAATAATGTATCATATAAAATGATCGGCCAGCACTATGTTGTAGCGTTTGGTACTGTTGAAATCCGCCTTTGTTACCTAGCTCTGCTTTGATCCCATTGGCTGCTGTTTATAGGATTAGTGGTGGCTCAATGTCGGTGCTGTATGTGTTGCAGCAGCTAAATAAAACCAGCCACCTCCACCTGGGTCTTTATCTGTTCAATGAAAGAAACAATGGAGGATCACATAAAACATAAGCAGGAATTGATATCCCAATCAATGCGGTGATTTGTGCATGAGAAGATTCCATTATTTATTCATATATGCTTAATCTGCTTTACCTGTTTCATAAGACAGAGATCCATACATGTCTGCGTTTTGGCAAAAACATAATTTGAATGATCTAAAAAATGCATTGTACAAGAAAGCAACACAATTTAAAAAAAAAAAAAAAACCACTCTATTCTGCATATTAATATGTGTATCTAAAACAGAGAGTTTATTTGTTGTCTATTTTAGCTGGGGCATTACGCTTTACTGTGGCATTTAACAGTCTGTTCAAGAGTGCTTGAATTCAAGTGCTGCACAAAGAAGACAAATCCTTAACAGTTAGTTTTTCTTAAGAAAAGAAGCAGACAGAAATAATGTCTATATTTAGCTACTAAATATAGACTCTTTACAGATCACATTTTTTATTCAAACCGCTCCAATATAATCAGTCCTGGGGCCTATGCTACGAAGCAAGATTTTCGTTTAGCAAGCTAACTTCAGGGGTTTCCGGTCCTACGAAGCTGGTTCACTTTTTAGCGGGCTAGATCTCCACGGTAACTTATCCTGGAACCTAGTCTGCTCCGAAGCAGGATAGGTTCCAGGATAAGAGATCAACTCAGTGAAAGCACCGCCTGCTGACCAATCAGAGCTCAGTGTGCGGAGGAAATACAGTTTAAACTGCCGTTGCAGGAAAGACGGCCGACCAAAATCACCGACTGTGTGAACGTGAAAATGAATAGAATATCAACTCCCATCTTCAGAGCAATCTGACTATTAGCCTATAACTATTATACTATTATTATACTATTATGTTAAGAAAGCTTAATTAAATATCTGCCACAACATATGTAACCGGATCAAAGTAACATTACGTAGCCTACAGTCTGCGGCGCTGTGAGTGCAGACGTCGATGTGTCCCATTATCATTCATATCACATCATAATGTATCATATATTTCCTTATCTGAGTCAGCTTCTTGAGCCGTATCTGGCCGTGCAACACTCACGGACCGTCCACACAGCAGCGTTAAAAAAATCTTGGAGGTGGGCGTATCTGAAGCTTGGGGATTTTTGAATGAATCTCCCGCCCCCGACATACGAAGCAAAAAAGTTTGAAGTAAACTGGATATAAACTCCCCAAACAGGCGAAAACCTACCACTGTCTCTGCCACCTCCCTCCATGCCTGGCTCCTCCGGTTTGTATCCCGGTAGGTAAATAGGGACTGGTCATAAAGCACCGGGTGATTCCCTACCGCTAATTTCTCCTCCATTTTTTGGAATATGAGGAAATGACCTGCGGTATGTCTCTCCCAGCATACACGCGGTTTGATTGGCTAGCGCTTGAACTGTCAGATTTGCATACACGGGATTTGATTGGCTGACGCTTCCACCTCAGCTTCAAAAGTTGAACATTGCTCAACTTTGAATCCTGAAAATCCTGAAAATCTCCGCTCGCCTGTCCACAATGCAGTTCGGCGAAAAGTGAGGCAAAGTGACGTCACCCCATTCAAAGTGAATGGGCAGAAGCGTTCCAAGATTTTTTAACGCTGCTGTGTGGACGGTCCGTTACAGTGTCACATACTGTATGCAGAAGTATTATTTTAAGCAACACATTAAGTTGACGAAACACTCGAGTCAAATGTAATTAAAGTCAGATCCACTCGTGTCTTAGACGGGGGGCAGTGATATCATAAACCTGTTAATGTACGCATTCAAACACTTTTTCTTTTACCAGCTGCATTCACCTTGCAGCTGCAGCTATGTGGCTTTTAGCCTGGATAAAGAGTTTAAGTCATGGATGTTTAAAGTTTAACTTCTTCATATGTCTAATATTATAGTTGACTTTTCATTCAGGAAGTATGACGCGCTGCGCTGTCAGTACGAGGCTTGTCCATGTTTGTGATTGGTCGATTGCTCCAGATACCACCCCTTTTATGTGAACGCGCACCTAACTAGATAGGACACGGCTGGCTTGAGCGATCGAGTTGATAGCCAGCGTCGTAGGACAGTTTAGCGAGAGCGGGTTTGTTTTGGATTAAGTCAACCGGATAACTCAAAACATATCCAGGATATGTTGAACTAGATTCGTAGTATACCCCCCTGCTCATCTCTTTGCAGCGTTGCCCTAAGGACCCATTCAAAGGAAGTGACGGCTACCACAGTGTTAATAGGACATCTCTTGTGCTGTGATTTTTTTATAGTGCATTACTTCCACCAACTGTTGCAGCTGCACATCACATTGCCCTCATGCTTGTGGCGTTTGTATGTGTATACAGAGGATTTAAAAAGTCCTGGGGCCTATACTACGAAGCAGGATTTTCGTTTAGCAAGCTAACTTCCTGGATTTCCGGTCCTACGACGCTGGTTCACTTCTTAGCGGGCTAGATAACTTATTCTGAACGGCTAGCCTCCGGAGCAGGATAGGTTCCAGGATAAAAGCACCGCCTGCTGACCAATCAGAGCTCAGTGTGCAGAGTTTAAAGCGATCAATTCATATGACAGGAGAAAGGAAATACAGTTTAAACTGCCGTTGCAGGAAAGACGGCCGGCCAAAATCACCGACTGTGTGAACGTGAAAATGAATAGAATATCACCTCCCATCTTCAGAGCAATCTGACTATTATAACATTAGCGTTAAGGAAGCTTACTTAAATATCTGCCACAACATAAGTAACCGGATCAGAGTAACATTAAGTACAGTCCGCGGCACTGTGAGTGCAGACGTCGATGTGTCCCATTATCATTCATATCACATCACATCATAATGTATCATATATTTCCTTATCTGAGTCAGCTTCTTGAGCCGTATCTGGTGTGCAACACTTACAGTGTCACATACTGTATGCAGAAGTATTATTTTAAGCAACACATTAAGTTGACGAAACACTCGAGTCAAATGTAATTAAAGTCAGATCCACTCGTGTCTTAGACGGGGCAGTGATATCATAAACCTGTTAATGTACGCATTCAAACACTTTTTCTTTTACCAGCTGTATTCACCTTGCAGCTGCAACTATGTGGCTTTTATCCTGGATAAAGTGTTTAAGTCATGAATGTTTAAAGTTTGACGTCTTCATATTTGTCTAATATTAGTTGACTTTTCATTCAGGAAATATATGACGCGCTGCGCTGTCAGTACGAGGCTTGTCCATGTTTGTGATTGGTCGATCGCTCCAAATACCACCCCTTTTATGTGAACGCGCACCTAACTAGATAGGACACGGCTGGCTTGATCGATCGAGTTGATAGCCAGCGTCGTAGGACAGTTTAGCGAGAGCGTTTTTTTTTGGATTTAGTCAACCGGATAACTCAAAACATATCCAGGATATGTTGAACTAGATTCGTAGTATAGGCCCCTGATCAGACCCGGCAGCAGGACTTAATCCACGTGGGGGCATTTGATTTGTTAGGGCGTGCCCAAGGTCAAAATAATAGGTTGCGCGGGCACATCACTGAATTGCTCTTGCTGATTAATTAGAATCAATCTCCCTATCTTTATGTAGCGTCTTGAATCTCACTTACCTGAAACGCATTTTTCCGGGACATTACTGATATGTTGACTTGGTTTCGGCCCAGCAGAGCAATATAGAAGTAACAACTCAAACATTCTGGATACATTTCTTTGCAAACAAGCTCCATTTTGATGCTTTTTGATGAGTTCTGGCTACTCATTTTCTTGCATAGAACTTAAAAATGTAAATGTGTAACATTACCGCAAACATGCATGTCTATTTTAAAGCTGAAATATGAATTGTGATGTAAAAATATGAAATCTCTGCCATATCTTCTCTTCTGCCTGTGTGTCACTCAGGACTGACCACCAGATTCACACACACACACACGCACACACACGCACACGCACACACACTTGATTGCTTGGATGAATGAAAAGAAAATAACACGAATTATCTTTTTTCTTCCACTTTAGGAAAATCCCACCTGGCCATCGTCCAGAAGGTGAACAACGAGGGGGAGGGAGATCCCTTCTACGAGGTGTTGGGGTTGGTCACCCTCGAAGACGTCATCGAAGAGATTATCAAATCAGAGATTCTGGATGAATCGGATCTTTACAGTGAGTTTGGTGTTTTTTTCTAAAGGGTGTCTTTAATGTCTTTACAGATCATTTTCTATCTACATTTTTGTTATACTTCGGTTCAAAAGTTTAGTTTCTGCTGTTATCTTGAGAGTTTTTTTTTTATACGTACAAACAGTCAAATTCAGACGCCGAATGTCATTATAATAAGATTTGAAGCCTTTGTTTAGTCCATTTCCCCACAGTGTTGCTACAGAGGAGCATACTGTGGGAACTTTATTATTTAATTAGTTTTCCAGTCCAGAAAAGAGTAAGAGACCCCCTCGTCGACCTCTTGGAACCATTGTTCAGCATTTTATCTTGTTTACATGTACAAATATTTCATACAAAATAACTATATAACACATCTTCTTGTAAAGGAGGACTTTGAGTATCCTAAAAGCATCACATAATATTCAAAAATGTATGAATATATTACTATATAATAAGATTTTGTTGCAGAGGTTCAAATTTTAAGTTTTCACAGTTTTTTTATCAGTGAATTTAATTATTTAAATGACTTTGTTTTGATATCTTGGGAATTTAACAGATTATTTTCTATCACAGGATCAATCAATAAGCGGCTCCTATTGTTGCTTCACAGAACAGCTGATATGATTTTTACAATGCTGTTTAGCTGCTGTAAAATATCTGTACAGCATGGCCTCGCTTTGCTGATTGCTAAATCGTTTTGAACTTTTGACTGAACATTTCCTTAATGAACGCGCTTGTCTGTTACTTCTCAGCTGATAACCGCAGCAGGAAAAAAGTGGCGCCCAATAAAAACAAGATAGACTTCTCCGCCTTCAAGAACGAGAGTGAATCAAAAGTGAAGTGCTCTCCTCAGCTGCTGCTGGCCGCACATCGCTTCCTGGCTACAGGTGAGGAACGGACTTATACAAGCATGAGCATACACAATCATCACAGTGACGAACACACAACCACAAGATCTTTTATAACTTTGAACAGTTGAAATATGCACTTCATATAGGAACTTTTATTGAAGTGATTTCCTATTATTCAGCTTGATAACTCTATTTCACATATTCTTCTTGTCTAACAGCTTCTGTTACTTTTCAGATGGATTTTTCCCCCCGCACCCCTCTAGTGACAAACATGTATATCAAAATGTATTCGCTTTTAATGTTTTTGATGAACTAAAGAATTCTTCATTGAGATCATTCTTATCTAGCTAATAAACACATTTTAAAAGCCTCTTGGTTCAGTTGAAGTGCATCGTCACAAAGATGAAAACAAGACTTTTTCTCTGAGAAATTCATCAAAGTTGGCTTTTTAGAGATCTGTAGTTCTCACAGGATTGGACACATCTACAAACAAGTGATGAATTTATAGAATATGATGCGTTGCTGTAGATTAAATCACCACAATAGGTAAAACATTTGTTACAATTAGCACCAACTTAAACATCTACAACAATAATATATACATACAAATTAATGCAGCAGTAATGTTAATCCATAAAACATCATATATTACAAACCAAACTGTTACTGCCCAATGACTCCTTTTACCTTTGATACATTTTACTGATACAAACCATTTACTTCAGTTAAAGAGGGGATTACTTCTTTCAACACTTAAAATATTGGAAGGGTATTTAGCCATTGTATAAATATCCTCAGGATGTCAGGATGAATTCTGCCCTCCTGCCATCTGAGGTCTTCACATGCAGGGAGGAGTTTGACATTTGTTTGTCTACTCTGAAAGTATTTTTAAGATCCCTGCAGTGTCCCTGTCTGTGCTTACCGCTACAAGAAGACTCAGGACTATTGCCAGCTGGATGTGGTGCATTGCCACTTCTTCAAATCATTTGAGAATGTGTTGCAATCCATCTGGTTAGCGGACATGATGTGCCAGGAGCAGTTAGCACTAGCTGCGGCTAGCATGACATAGCACTTCCTTGTCTCACAGACACTGTGGTGGGGGAGTCTATTACCTCTGCAGGCATAACACCGCTGTCTGCTGACACGTTTCTGTTTCTTTCTCAGGAGGATGGGTTTCAGTTTTCTTTCTTGATTCAATACACAGGAATGGGATTCCCCCCTTTTTTATTTTGGTCCACGAAATGACTGTTTACCGGTTTCTTTACCTGTTTTTGTTCACATCAATGATCATTACCCAGCTCTTATTTCACATTATGTCTGATTTCTGTTGCCTTTGATACCTGATATGGGATATTCAGACTATCACTAATCTTTAAGAGATTTAAGGGAATTTAATATGCATTTTTGTTTGCATGGTGGACTGCTTCATTGTTCTCAGTGTGGGTTGGGTTGAAGGCACTTAGGTTTGAGCTCTGCCTGCGACAGTTTAGAATTGCATGTAAACCAAATACATTTCACAACCTGAGACTATGCACCATCATTAACATTTATGTAAATGTCTTAGTGTTAGCCAGAAGGTTAATAATCACCAGGTTGCCATTGGTATTCACGCAGATCAATATTCTAGAGAATAAAATATATTTGTATTATTTTCAATCAAGAGGGTCCTATTATGCTAATTTGGTTTTCCCTCTCCTGTAGTGTGTTATATAGGTTTTTGTGCATTTAAATGGTTTGCAAAGGCTAAAATCCCCATGTTCCCTCCAGAGGGAGTTTCCCTTTTTTGCTAATTTCAGTTTCTCAGAGGCCAGTGTGTCATCTTTTATTATATATTTATGTCTAACAATGTAAAACAAAACGTAAGTCAAGCATTTCAAAATGTTTCTCTCACACTTGAGCAAGCCATATTAGGATTCAATGTTGCAGTACTTATTAGTTATTTCTTTATAAGCCTAACATTGAGCTGATTTTCATTTGAATACATTTGGGATCTCTTATTGATATCTATGTAATGTCCATTTATGTCACAACAATAGATTCCTTGCAATACTAAATTCATTCAGTTTGTCAAGGCTAAATGTATACCTTGAAATATTTAACCCTCTTCTGTTGAACCAACATAACGTACATTCTGGTATTATTATTTAGCATTGTAGAGGGCAATAAACTCAGACAGGCATTTGTTATAATTAATTACTTATGATCAATAACTAGCCAGACGAGAACTTGGCTGATACTGCCAATGAATAAGCAAGTGCAGGAACATAAGATATTGTCCCGACAGCAAGGCTAACTGAGCTAACGGCTAACTAGAGAACAGCAGCTAATGTTAGCAGATCTTAGGGGTAGGCGTTACGCTACTTTGGCGACACGTTTTTTTTTGTATTTATATCAGAAAACTCTGTAAATCACAGAGATTTAAGGCAGCCAAAGGAGATTTTAGGGGAAACCAAGCAGGCACAGGAGATAAATAAATAAACAGTCACAGCCCCTTTAGATCCCTCGGGGTTGTGATATGCTCGCTCTGATCTGCCTAATTTCAGAGAGAGAGAGAGGTCCAGTAAACATTTTATTCTCGAAATATTATCCAGTTTTACTAAAAAATCAACTTGGTGCCAAAGCTTTACGCACTAATCCATATTGTTTCACAAAAGCATTGAACATATCATTTAATATGCACATTGATCCATGGTGTGTTTGTTGGAAGTAAAAAGGTAATTGGATCTCAAGTCAGTTCGGAAAAAAACATATTTTCTTGGTGTAATGAAGTATATAAACCTCCCAAAAATGTATTTATGATCCTTTTTTGTTGTTTAGGGCAGTAAAATAAGTGTACATTAATTCCCCTTTCACCTCAAAGAACATTTTCTTCTTGTCTTCCTACAGAGGTGAGCTTGTTCAGCCCGTCTCAGATCTCAGACAAGGTGCTGCTGCGGATCCTGCGCCACCCCGATGTGATCCAGGAAATCAAGTTCAGTGAGAGTGACAAGCGCTCGCTCCATCACTACGTCTACCAGAGGAGCAAGCCCGTCGACTACTTTGTTCTCATCCTGCAGGTACGTGAAGATCGAGGGAAGAGGAGGGTGAAGCACGAGCTGGCTCTGTGACCGCTTGATGCTTCAGTGTGGGTGAAATATCAGCACACTGTGGTCTGATCTTCCAAAAGCCCTCAGAAAGGAGATCAGGAACACTGGTAGATTATAACTCCCTCCCACACACTCACGTATACTCCAACACAAAGTAGGATAATATCTAGTTTGTTTCAGCTCTGACAATATACTGTTCTCAAGTTCTCAAAAGTGAGTCAACTACAGAAAACAACTACAGAAAGCATTTGTTTGCATTCTTGTTTGTTTTGTTGATTTGTCTTCTGTGTGCAAATAGGCTCTTTCTTGTATGTTTTAAATGACACTGTTTTAGCAAAGTTCATACTACACTTTAAGAATTAGCAGCAAAATCTTAGTATCATTAGTAACTTTTCTGGAGCTGTCAATTATAATCCTACATTTGTGTTGCTGGTTGCAACATCAGTTGTGCTTGTTGTTTTAAGAATCTTCAAGAAAAAATATCAAACTTGATATAGTTTTGGGTAGATAAGAGGACAGAGTAATGGCTGGCACATCATTTAAAACATACAGGAAAAACCAACAGGACTTGATGTGGTCGTGCTATCATGTAATCTGGCAAAACTCAATCTAGAAAATGTAGTTTGAGTAAAGCCTACTGATATTCTTTTCCCTCACCGTGCTGAACACATTGCGCCATCTTAATGTCATATTCCCATTGCTTCAGCCTGGAAACGAAGCTGTGAAGCTTAGATTCATGGGACTGACTCTTCCTCTTTCTTTCTTTGACAATTATCTCCACCTCTTCCCTTCTCCACCTGCCACCCCATCCCCTCACAAAGTGCATCTTGAGCTTAGCCGTATTGATCGGCCTGCCTTCTAGTTAAACGCTGAGCTACAGCTTGTGACAGATGGCAGTAGGCGATAATAATAATCTTAAAGTTTGTTCTTGAAATATATGTTAAGTCACTTTTGATTCCCGAATGAAGACACAAAGGTGATTGAGCCCACTGGAGAGAAACTCAAGGATTACTACCTGGAGAAGCCTGTGACCTAAGATTTTCAACGACATAATTACTCTGTAGCTATGTTAGTTTGACAATAAAGAACCTTGAACCTTACGTTAGGATATAATGAAGGCCTGAAAAGGACATATTTAAAGCTGTCCATTCACAGACACAATGCTTCGTTTTTTTAAGTTATCCTCATTTTTTACGGAAGTTTGGGTTGACAAATGTTTTTTGAGAAAGGCCTAGGTTCAAAGTTTGGGCACTATAATATAATTCCTCTAATAGGCAAGGGAGTTTCCCTAAAAAACACCGGAAAACATAATCATCAAATCTATTCACCTTTGTGGCTTTGAACATATGTCAGTAAAGAACACAATTGACATGATTGGTCTTTTAATTTTATTTGCTGCTTTGGTATGGTATTTTCTATGTGTACATTATGAATTTGGTTTGCTGCATGGTCCACAAAGAATGACAAGAAGAGACTCCTTTCCAATCTCTCATGAGACACTCCTCTTGTAAGCCACAAAATAATACATTCGAATAGACTTGAAATACCCTCAGCTCACAGTTTTCCCGTGATATGACAAGATTTGAATTGACAAAAAGACACACATTTCTTACCAAGTTCCTATTTAAAATGTTTGTATTTCTTTTCTATATTCTTCTCCCTCAATAAATCCTTCCTTGAAATGTTTCAGAAGGTAGATAAAGGCCTGCTGTTACAGAAATCACTGTTAAATAAAATAAAATAATATATTTCATGTATGGCAAAAGCAATCTGCGGATGGAGAACAAAAGATTGGACTGTCTGGAAAAAGATTTCTTCTATATCTATGCAAAAGAAAGCACAGTGCAGGAATACATTGCATCCTATGTTTACATCATATTTAAATACATCTGTGTGTTGATATATAAACAACAGTTTAGAAGTCACAACTAATCCAAAGTCCATCAACTCCAGAAGGAGATTAGCCGGCTACTTTAAGAGCTTTAGCACCCAGGTTTGGTGGAGTGCCAGGCTGGAGGATTTTAAAGTCTTTTCAGCTACCCCCAAACTCACAGTACAGCATGCTCTTGCTCATAGTGTTTGTAGAGCCATCATGACTTGTTCACCAAATATTAACTTTATTTTAACCTACCTTTTCTTAAAAGTTTACAAGCGATTAAGTAAGTGATTAACCATGAAGGCATCCAAAAAATGAAAAATCAGTTTGTAGAATGTGTACTCACCTGACCTCTGAAAAAACAAATCGCTGCTGTTGTTTTGAGTTTATTTGTGCTCTTTTACCAATCACTCACCCCATCATTTAAAAAAAACTGACCCACAAGTGTATTAAATATAGGAATAAAACTCCTAACTTAAGGTTAATATTTATGCTTTTGATATTATAATAGCAAACTCGAAAACAAATTTGATAAAAAGTATGCCCATTTATTTGAATTGTAACCATACAATACACTGTTACATTACATGTACAGTTTGAATCACCTTTTTCCAGTCATTCTAAAACACTTATTTTATAAACAAGTATGTTTTCTAAGGATCTTTGCCCATTAGTTAAGTTGCTAGCTAGCTAATTTAACACATTTCCCATTGTAGGTTTTTGAAAGTAATGGATTTATTTGGCACATTAATGGATTATGTGTATATTTCTATCTGCATATGACATTGTGGTTAATAGAGCCTGAGTGGATACCAGAATCCTCCTCTGCTAGGTGTACATGCTTAGCGGCGGCAGTAGCTCAGTCTGTAGGAAATAGCTTGGGGGCCAAAAATAAGGGGTGAGAACTGGTAGCTGTAGAGGTGCCAGTTGCCCAGGTGTCTGTGAGCAAGGCATCGAACACCCAACTGCTCCCAGCTTCCTGACCACCGGCAGCCCCTTTGCTCTGCCACCTCTCCTCAGTGCATGTCTGTCCTGAATATTAATAACTGCTATTTTCATGTTATGTTATTAGATGTTATTCCTTTGTCATACATTCCTATAGATTTTCTCTTAATTCCCACCTTGAATATTCCCAAATGTTTGCAGGCCTAGGTAGGAGCAAACACCCTTCCATTTAAACACTTGTAAAATCTGTCAGTGATGCAGCATGAGGGCACAAAACACTTTTCTTTCTCGCTTTTACAACATTTTCGAGTCAATGCTGCCGCTACAGCTCCGTCTGTTAAAAGGCTTTCATGTGTGATTATAACCGCCGGCAACATTTAACGTTCAAATGTCACTTTCATTTAGACTTAAATGGCATCATTTGAACAGATAGAAGCAGCCAGCAATTACATGTTTTCAAAAGGGCCTGAGTGAAGTCAGGAGGAAGTTGAAAATGGTAAAGGAGAAAAAGGAAAGCAAAGAGTAAATGAAGTTTCAGACAGCTGTGACCTTGAACAGACGGACAGACAGAGATGGGAGGAGAGCTGTGTCCTTGAGGATTTGCTCTTCACTAAATGATCCCTGTTATACAGTATAAGATTGTAGTGGAGGGAGGAAGGACACCATACTCACACACTTATCATTGTACCTCCTTCTGCATGCTTACACACCCTCCAAACACACCAAACTCCCAGAGCACGCCTCCTGTCTCCTCTCTGTGTACATGTACACGTGCGCTCAAATCCCACAGGATGGGAAAATGACGATTCATTGTCTTAATCTCCACTCTTTCACACACACTTATTTCCCACATGTCCTATATGTCAATGTCACCAAACAGTCATTAGCCAGGTCCAGTAACCCAGGGGGATCATTTCCACTTTCTCCTCGCGGTGAGATTTTCACAGTGGGGGGGCCGGATATTTGTGAGGAGGTTGTGGAGACCCCACATGTGGAGTAATCCGCTGAGACCTTTTTGGAGAGGGAGGCATTTAGTGTCAGCATGCCAGGGAGGGAATTTTCCACCGGAGGGAAAGATACTGTCGGAGCCAGTCATTGTGAAATGTTCTGGATGGTGAGTGCAGAAAAGCCTCTGGGTTTAAGTTGGATTTTAGGAGAAGTACATGTACTGATACCCTGCTTTTACTCAGGATGCTTTGCTTTCTGTCAAATGTTAAGATTGTTTACACAAAACAAGGTTTAGTTTAAGACAGCTATTTAAAGACAAGATCCAGGAGCTTCCAGGTATAAGCATTTTCATTTCAAGTACCTAACCTAGATTTCTGTATAAATACTAATTTAGAAGAGATGGACTATTTTCATCAGATCCTGTCCTGAGCTGATGAATATTTTATTTTGGTTATATCAGATACACTGCAGACTCGCTGAATTATAGATTTATAGTTTCTCTGAAGAGCCTCTGACGAGCCTGTGTACGGAGAATTTAGCGAAATTTGGAAGTCAACATGGAGTTTGTGTGCTGCTCATGTTTGGCCTGTAAACAAAATGATCCCCTCGCATTCCAGCGGTGCTTGTTTGGAAGGTGAAAAACAGACAAAAAATAGTTAGTGGAAAGTGTGAGAAAAAGGAAATGTTTTAGATGGGGGTTTACTAGAGATTATTGGTTAAAAAAAAGTATATTACACAGTGTGGTGTTGGTGATGTGCGGAGCAACCTTTTGGCATGTTCAGAACTAAAACAAGAAGGACTTGTTGCAAATAAACAAGCCTCATGCAGGCATTTGATGTGGTACGTGCACATTTAATGCGGGTTCCTTAAGTAGGATTATTATAAATGTCTACAGATTAAGAGTGTTTTGATGGGTACAGTAAAAAAAGGCTTAATTTTCAATGACAAGCTGAACATTTAATGTTTGCTCCATTATTTTCTTTCTTTTAGTCCTGCTGACCATGAAAAGATAAAAATGTGTATGACAGTGCTAAGGTGCAAGAAGGGTAAAAGCCAGTTGTACGCATGTTGTGTTAAAATAAGGTAAATAGCTAATAGTGTAATGTTGGTCCTCGCTACTTTTTTTATCACATTTTTGTGAATAGAAACTCTTCCGAATGTTCTAAGTTGACTTTCCAACCAAAAGTCTCCCAAGGAGTGT